TTACATGTAAAGATAATTTTTAACATTCATTTTTTTTAAAAATTTGAGTTCCAAATTTTTTCCCCTTTCTCCCCTACCCCTCCCTAAAAAGTTAAGAATTTGAAATAGGTTATATATGTGCAATCATGGAAAACATAGTTCCATATTGGTCATGTTGTGAAAGAAAAAACAGACGAAAAGGAAAAAACTATGAAAAAGATAAACAAAATGGAAATAGTAGCTTCGATCTGCATTCCAGCTCCATCAGTTCTTTCTCTGGATGTGGATAGCAGTTTCCATCATGAGACTTTTGGAATTGTCTTGGATCGTTGTATTGCTGAGAAGAGCTAAGTCCTTCAGCGCTGATCTTTGCACACCATTGTTGTTACGATGTACAATGTTCTCCTGGTTCTGCTCACTTCACTTTGAATCAGTTCAGGTCTTTCCAAGTAAAACCTATGTAATTCTTAACACCCTTAACCCACTTTTCTACAAGTGGAAAAGTAAACAAGGGACTGCATACAACTGAAGGCCATTTTAGGGTTTTCTTTGTTTTGGGGTTTGTGGTGGCTTAAGCAGTTCATTACCTTGCAGCCAACCTACCAGTGTTCTCCTTTCAGTTTTCCTTTAAATGCTCTTGGGATGATGATCTTGCTTAACTGGGGAAAATTCATACCCTCTGTAGATAGCTAGGACCTTGGAAAGCCATCATAGTCAGGTGCTGGGACTGTTCTCAAAGCCTTTCCTACATGGTAAAACCTACAAGAACATAAACCTAAATAGGCTTTTGAGAACTAGGATCACCTTCACATTGCAATGAGGCATCAGAACAGGACCCTATGGAAGGAAACATCCCATTGTAAATGAATGCATAGTGTTTTGTTTTGTTTTTTAGTGAGGCATTCGGGGTTAAGTGACTTGCCCAAGGTCACACAGCTAGTACGTGTCAAGTGTTTGGTCTGAGGCCGGATTTGAACTCAGGTCCTCCTGACTTCAGGGCCGGTGCTCCACTGTGCCACCTAGCTGCCCCCCCCCCTTTTTTTTTCACAAGAATGTGAGATTATCTTTTTATGTTGCATCTGGCTTTGGAAAGGTTGACTGTTTTTTGATGGTCCTTCTTGGTCAGAGAAAAGCTCAGAGGAAACTCTTCTCTCTGTAGCCAGAGAGACTAAGCCTCACTTGCTTTTTCTGCTTAACCAGGTTCTTTATTGCCTTGTTCTACATTCTCAAAGGTACTGGCATAGTGAATAGGGGTGGTGGAGAACAGCAGTTCTGTACTCACTTCATAAAGTCTTGTATGGCAATCATAAACCATGTGTCCTGGGCCACTTCTCCAAAGAAGGGAAGGTCATCCCAGGAAGAATCTCACCATAAGAGTGAAAATGGGCAGCTAAGCCTATGTTGATTGGCTATTTTATTGTATCATGCTATTCAATGACAAACTTCCTAACTATGGTGGATTCAGTGGTCAAAACCTAAAGGATATGAAAGCTTTCCTCCATTGTAAAGCCTTGGAAGTCAAGTGAAGAGTGGTTGTATCCCACAGTGTATTCCTGAGTGCAAGAAGTCGGGAGCCCATAATGTTCATGTTGCATATGGGGCTCCAAGCAGTGAATTTGCTGTGGTGCTCTACCTTCTATCTGAACATGAATATCCTTGAAATAAACATCACCATCTTTTTAAGTGTTTCCTGGATTCCAAAATTTGGACTTGAGCACTTACTGATAAGTCTGGCAGCCTAAACTCCTGGCTCAACTCACAGTCAGGGCTTCTGTCTACCTCCTTACCAAACACCTTCCAATTCTGAAGAATCCTCTGCCTGAGACCCAATCTCCTGATTAGTCTAGATCACAATTTCAAGGGGGGTCCCCATCATTCTTACTTTACATTCAGCTTGACCCTCTATACCTTTTTCCATCTCCTCACTAACGTTCCTGCCCCTTGTGAATCTCCTTACCCTTCTTGCTTTGTGCAGTCTTCTCTTTAGAATGTAAACTCCTTGAGAGAGAGTGAGAGTTACTGTATTTTTGCTTGAAACTGTATCCCAGAACTTGATACAGTGTCTGGAACATAGTAACCACTAAAAAAAGTTTTGCTCTGTTTTCTATCTACATATCTATCTATCTTTCTACCTACTACCTACCTATCTATGTATCTATCTATCTATGAGGGGTGTACTCAAAGGGGCTAGAAAATAATTTGCTATTATTACCATCAAGTGGATTGTGACACTCCCATTGAAAGTTTGCTGTGAGATAAATGAGAGTGTCATTTGAAAAAGGTCAAAACATAGGGAGAAAAATTAGTGAATTTGATATAAATTTATTTTTAAAAGTAAAAACACTCAAAGTAACATTTTTATTGTAGAAGTAGTCACACAAAAATTATCAAGTGCCATTACAATTACATGCTGCATTTAAATTAAACAAATTAGAAACATTATTTATGCACTAGTAAAAGGAAAACTAATATCACCCCTTATAAGTTTGGGCTTCTTCCCCTCAAGTAATATGAAAATCATCATATTGAAAGATTGTTGATGACTTAATTAGGAATCAATAGACCTGGATTCTAGTCCCAGTTCTGTTCTTAACTATGTGTCCTTAGGCTAGTTATTTGACTCAATTTGGCCTCAGTTTTCTCACCTGTAAAAGAGAAAACACAGAACAGTGGATAGACCACAAGGTTCTGGGGGCAGAGGCATCGTTCACAGGCTCTTTACCTATGTGAACTTAAACAAATCAGTCAATCTCTCTGTGCCTCAGTTTCCTCCTGTGTAAAATAGGGGAGTTGGACTACCTGGCCTCACCTTTAAGCTTTAGATCTATGATTCTATTTTAGAGTCTATGTTCAGTAAATTTACTAAAGGTTCTAGAGAGGAATTAAATTTTGCTATTGTTTTCACTTGATAATAAATGTCTCTGAAAAGAATTTAACCTACCGAGATATTTTTCAACAAAGAATGCCAATATTTGGATAGGTCCGCAGCCATCTTTGGAAAACTTTGACCTTGTGTCCATTTGGTTGATTCTTTGTATATGAAAAATGATGACTTGAAAAAGCTGTGACCAGAACCATTCTTTCCATGCATTTATTGGCCTGAAGATCTACTCTGTACTTCTTTCCACCTCCTTCCCGTGGAGTCCATGTTGCCTCCATTCAAGAAGGTATCCCACACCCTCATCTACTGTTGTGTGCTAAGCCACTGCTGATTAAGCCATTGATTGGTTTTTAAAACTACTTGGTACATACGATGTGGCTTCAAGTTGTATCCCTACCATCTCTGTAATTAGTGTTGCTTAGAGTGAGTCATTTTTCAGTTTTTCACCCAGGGGGTCATTAGATGCCTTTCTGTTGGCTGATAGCCAGCCCATCTGATCAGCGTGGGCACAAGCACCCCTCTTATGCTGGTGAACAAGTGGCATTTCAGCACCTTGGCTTGGGAATGAATCTTGTTTGCCCTTGATGATTAAGCATGGCTCATAGATAGCACCTTAGTTCGCTCACATTTTTGCCCAAATAGAATTCTGTATTCTAAATTTAGTATTCAAATGAGTTTTATTTGATGGGTAAAACCCCTTAAATTTGATAAATAAAAAGCCATGTCCCTTGTGTGTTTAAAAACTAAGAATGGAACTGTAATATGTATGTTAAGAAAACTTTATCTGCTTAGAACTTGGTCAGACATGGAAGACACCAAGGTCATCCACTGCATTCTGGACCGTCGCCATTCATGTTGGCTTTTGTCTTGCCACTGGACTTTGATGACTCAGCTAGAGAGAGTGAAACTGCTGACTTTTCCAGACTCTGCCTCACTTAAATCCAATTCTCCTGCAAGTTAAGACACCGTCTGTGATGTCATTGGTCCTCTTTGAAAGGGAAGAATCAGCAACAACAGCGAGAGTGCCTATCATCCTATGATCCTTCCAGCATTGCCATGGCCATTTTCGTCATCTTTGCCAATCTGCAGGGTTCGAGGTGAAATCTCGGGGTTGTTTTGCTTTGCATTCCTTTTATTGTTAGGGATTTGAAGCATTTTTTCATGTTGTTGTGAATACTTTGCAATTCTTCTTTAGAGAACTGTTTGTTCATAGGCTGTGATCTCTTATCTGCTGGGGAATGGCTACTCATTTTATACACACATATATTGTTTCTATATCTTGGATAATAAACCCTTTCAGAGAAATTTGATATAAAGATTTTTTCCACCAGTTAAAAAAAAAGAAAAAAGAAAACTTCGTCTGTAGGTCTCCCTTGTTTATTTCCAAGTATGAATTTTTCAAGTAAAAGCTTGCCACTGCTAGTCTCTAGCAATACCATGATTTTGGCAGAGGTCCAGAAAGCATCATCATGTCTTATTTGTCATTTGACAAAAACTGAAGGCGTACAAATAATTCAGTTTAAAAAATCTGAGTCAGGATAATGGAGTTCGCCTGTCTAGGGAAGGAACTCCCAGAATGAAAACTCACTCCACTTATGCTGATCTTAAGCAAGTCTAAAATTTACAGTCTTCATTCTCTGAGGCATTAAGAGGTGCAGTTGATTTGCCTGGGGCAACATACCTCAAACAGCACTGCATACTGGGTCTTCTTGATTCCAAGGCCATCCTTTTACCCTAAATGCCACACTACCTTTCATAGTTAAGTAAAAATATACTGTAAAAATGTGTTATTTTTTCCATAAACCCTCCAAAACACATGATCATATATTACTAAGAAGAATTTTGTTCCCTAAATTTCTAATTATTTTTCAAGTTTTGAAGACATAATAGTGTCTTCTTATAACAAATGCCATTATCCATTTTTTTCTTTACAAAGTCAATATATTAACTTCTAATTAGCTTCCACTTCAACTACCTAAATTTAAGGTAACAATGTACTGGTTCTATTAAATGGAGAAATGGCGATTCTCTCCCAAACCCCCAAACCCCACCCACTGCCATACTGAATTAGGTTCAAAGTGTGCAATTTAAATTACCGAGGAAATGCAGTCCTCAGACCTGTCATTCACTGGCTTGGCATACAAATTAAAATGCATGGATTTTCTTAGAGGAAAAAATATAGTTCCTTAGTAAGCATGGACATGATACATGGCACCTGCTTCTTTGCATTTAAGTCAACGTCTAGGGAATAAGATTCAAACTCTGTAGCCACCTTCCGATTGACTCTGGTAAGGATTTGCATTATCTCAAGCTTGTGAGCATACTGTTTCAGCATTGTGCAAAGTGACTGGATAAACCATGAACCATATGTTTTATTTCTCCAAGAATAGTAGCCTACAAAACAACAAAACCCACAAACTGTCAGAAAATGACAATTATTGAAGCTGATGTCACAAATAATTACATGAAGTTATTGAGAAAACTATCCAAAAAACAAGTATGGATTCCAGTAGGCTTCATGGACCATGGGAGGAAAAAATCCTCTTTATACATTGGGACAGTGATATTGATGAAGTGGGAGAAAAAATGCTGTGTACAGCCTTCCATTCCCCATATCACCTCCTCTTTTGGTAAAGAAATTCAAGGAGGACTGCCTTTGTAGGTGAACCCTCTCAGCCTTGGGTCCCCCCACTGCCCCTCCTTCTAGAGCTTTAGCACAGTGCCTGGCACCTGGCAAGCCCTTAATAAGCTTGGTGACTTGACTCACTCAGATTTCTACCTGCTAAACTCCATTTCCAATGGAGAGGATCAAGTGAACAAGCCAAAGACAGAAGCAATACCTCTTTCCCTTTCCCCACCTGCTCCAATTCTAAGAAGTAGATTATTGTGTTATTTGGTTCCATCAATTTCATAATAATCCACCTGCTCTATCAGACACACTGCTGATATTAACAGAATGATAATGACCACCAGCTCTTTGTCTAGTCCTTGACAAGGTTCCCATGCATTCTCTCTGTTGAGAGGCAAAGTCACGGGTAAATCAGACTACCAAGCTTGGGTTCAATTCCTGCCTCAGAGGGTAGTGAGTGAGTGAGCAGGGGGCCACGGGACTAAACTTCTAAGAACCTCAGGTTCCACATCTATAAAATGAGGACTATACAACTTGCCGAACCTTCTGCAAAGGGGTGTTAGGAAGGCTGTTAAAATTGTTAATAGAGGGGGCAGCTAGGTGGCGCAGTGGATACAGGAGCGGTCCTGGATTCAGGAGGACCTGAGTTCAAATCAGGCCTCAGACACATAACATGTACTAGCTGTGTGACCCTGGGCAAGTCACTTAACCCCATTGCCTAGCCAAAAAAAAAAAAAAAAAAAAGATTGTTAATAGGAATATTTCATCCAGGTTAGTATCAAGTATGATTACTCCTATTTTACAAAGTACAATGCTGAGGCAGTGAGAGGTTAAATGTCTTGCCTATGGTCACCAAGCTCTTACATGGCAGAGCCAGAATTTTAACTTGGGGCTTCTGATTCCCAAGCTCCATGGCTGTTATACTATGCTACTGTATTCACTTTACCACTAGAAGCATAATCATGAATGCGATTTATTTTTAAGAGCTGAAGTCAAGGGTCAATCATATATAAGGTCTGTGATTACTGGACACAACAAAGTTAACTGGATCCCATTGGAATTAAAATAATGATGACAGCCTTTGTAATACTATTCTCTAACCGACTTATAACTCTTCCTGTAAGCATTAACACACACAAAAATCAGTCTCAGTGTGATCAAAAATCTGCAATATTTTCATAAATACCAATTTTGCACAACTCTTTCTTACCTGGGGCTGTAGAATATGCATATAAGAAGTCTGCCTCAACAGGTATTTTCTGGCATGTTACATCATCATCAGTGCCACTGTCTGTTTCAACACCACAATCCAACTCTGTGCCTCTACATGCCTAGTTAAAAGAAAAAATCAATTACCATGCGTGAAATCTAGAGTAAATTTTTAAAATTTTGAAAATCATTAGTATATGCCTATTGGGCTTCATTTATATTCTAGGTCAGAAAATCCATGTTTTCTTTTGAGGAAGGCCCTGAGGGTGGCCACGTGAGAGGGGACCTCTACCAACAACCGGACCAAAAAAAATGTACGTCCCTCCTAGTGATTGGTTCAGTTTCAAGGACTCCAAGAGACAAAAATTTTTAGTCATTTGTAACTTGGCCAAAAAAAAAAAAAAAAAAATGTGATTTCTTAAAAACGTACAGCCCATTAGGTTTCGATTTTTCTAGCCATTATTTTTTTTTCTATCTCTGCCTCCCAGAATCAATAGCCAAGTGTTTCAGAAAACTGCTCCTGACTTGGTCTGACATGTACTAGGCCATTCATCCTTTGTGATTTTAAAAGGAGAAAGACATATGCAACTAAACCCTATGTCCTATTATTTGAAATATATTAACTATAAAACATGGTTATGGTAACTGTTCATACTGTGATCAAGGTGCATTTGAGTATTTCTATAGGATTGGGACTGGACCTCTGATTTCATTGATACAGGGAACTCCCAGGTGAGGAAACTCTCTTTACCAATGCAGGTTAGCACTTTAATCTTTGACAGTGGCCTAGAACCCTGTGAGGTGTACTGATGTGCCCAGGGTCAAAAAGCCAGTGTATGTTAGGCAGCACTTGATCTCAGGGCTCCTGGTCCCCAGGCCAGATGCTCCCTCCCTATCTATTTTATACATGAAAGGAAATCATAAATTCCAGTCTTTGTCAGTGGAACAAAATAACAATTTATCTTAATTATTTAGAACTATTGAATAATCAGAAGTAATTGATTATTTTAAGAATAGAAGCAAGTAGGTTATTAGCTTGGAATCTACAATCTCAGAAAAGAAAAGTGACTTCGTGTCACCTACTCTAACCTGCATCTGATCAGGAAGCTCTTCTGTTACATTCCTGGTAAGCAATTGTTCAGCCTCTACTTAAAGATCTCTCCTGAGGCAGCCCAGGACACTCTTGAACTTGGACACACACACACACACACACACACACACACACACACACACACACACACACCCCCACACACCATACACTCCTTATACTGAGATAATATCCACCTCTCTTAAACTGCTTCCCACCATCCCAGATTCTGTCCTCTAGGGCCAAGCATAACAGGCCTAACCTTTTTAGATGACATGCCCTCAAATGCCTGTCATGTCTGTGTCTGTCTCATCCCCTCCCCTTTAAGGACACACACCACAACACACATGATGTGGATCTGAGTCCCCACACCAGCCTGGCCACACTGCTCTAACTGTCCTCTAGCTTTTTAGGATCCTTCCAAAAACACGACATTTAAAAAGAAATACAATTTTCTAGGTGTGCTGGGACCTTAGTACGTCCTATACACTGATATGCCTAAACATGGTATAGGTATTTAACATGTATCTATGATGTGCTGGTCACCTGTCTTAAAAATCAGATGATTCAGGATCTTCTGGATTTATCGTTGACAAGGTTGGAAGAGAGAAATGGAAATCAATAAACCAATAGCTGAATTTCATTTTTATTCCTACTATTCTTTGTTCAGTGGAGGTTTCAAATAAGAAACAGCAAAGTTCCTAAATTAAGGTATCCTTGGGAATGAGGAAAGCAAAAGGACATTTGGATATACCACAAACTGAATAATCAATCCCCAAATAATGTTTTACCTGAATAATAAAAAGCTTTGGTTTTCCTGTTAAACTTCTACATTTATACCCTTTAAAGAAAGATGTTAATCTTTTCAGTTCAACAGATCCATCCGTCCCAAAGATGATTCCTTCTTCACCATGACTTAGAATCACGCAAACAAAACTGCTCCTTTGGCTGTGATCTTCTTTAGAAACTTGGAATACATTTAAAACAAAAACAAAAAACACCTCAGAACCAGTTCTATGGGAATAATCAAATGAAAGAGAATTGGATTGGGACCTTAAGAGGTCCACTGGTTCAGTTCTTGCTTTCAGAAAGTGAGGTACATTTCAAGCATTCCACAAAGTTAGAATGTATTCATACATAACCTTGCAAAATCTCACCCTTTCTTCCACTGGGTTATGTTTACTCATGAGTGTCAGCATCTAACTCATAGTCATTCTATAAATTATTACTTACCATTGCACATTAATTCAATTATTTCTTTACATGTCAGGTCATTTTTATTCCTGACTTCATATTTCAAGCTCTTGAACGTATCCCTGAGGTTTGCTGCATCTACATCTGTACCAGAACGAAATGACATGCCTTTGAAAAGAAAGAGAACGTTTAGTTGCAGTTTCAAAAGAAACTATTGCTTTGAAAACAAGTGAGCAAAGATGACAATAATGATAATAGCTAGCAATTACTAAGTACCTATGATGTGCCAGGCACTACGCTAAGCACTTTATAAATGACTTGCCCAGGGTCACAAAGCTAGTAAATGTATAATGCTGAATTTGAACTCGGATCTTCTGGACCCCAGCCTCAGTACTGGTCAATTTTGCCATAAAGTTTTAAAGGTGTTGCCCAACTGACAAAACGTTAAAGGATAAGAACAGGTAGTTTTCACAGGAAGAAATTCAAGCTAGCCGTATGAAAAATGTTCCAATTTATTAATAACTAGAAAAATGCAAATTAAAACAACTCTTAAGGTTTCATCGCACACCCATCAGATTGGCAAAGTTGAAAAAGATGATAAATATTGGCACACTTGTGGGAAAATGGGCAAATCAATGCACTGATGGTGTAGCTGTAAACCAGCTCCAATGTGGAAATTTGGGATTTCCAGCCAATGAGGAAAGCAATTTGGAACTAGCCTGCAAAAGTTACTAAGTTGTGCATATTCTTTGATCCAGTGGGTATATAGGCCAATTCCATCCTTAGATGTATACTCCAAAGAGATCAAAGAGGAAAGGGGCTCATGTGCACAAAAATATATTTATCTACTCTTTTCATGGTGCCATAGCCATAGAACTGGAAAATAAGGATTGCTTATCAATTAGGGAAAGCCTCAACAAATTATGGTCTATGAATATAACGGAATACTGTGATTGTGCTGTAAAAAATGATGAAGGGGACAGTTTCTCTGAAACCTGGGCAGCCTTGTATGAGCTGATGCAATGTAAAGTGAGCAGAACCTGGAGAACAATTTATATAACAGCAACAACACTGTAAAGACAAACAACTCTGAAAGACTTAAGAACTGTGATCGACACAATGACCAAGCATGATTCATGATGAGACATACTAGTCGCTTTCTCATAGAAGAGATGGACTCAGGGTGCAGAATGATTAATTTTTTGGAAAAGGCAAATGTAGAAATTTGTTCTAAACTACACATTTGTACTAAGTGTGGCCTTTATTCTTTCTTTTTCAAGACGGGAGGGAGGAGGTAGAGAAGAGAGATATTAATTAAAAAACACATTTTTTTTCCCAAAGAAACAAAGTGACCAGGTCAAAGGTGGAAACAATTCATAATCCATTCTCTTGAATACAAAGAACATTGTAAAGACAAGTTCCAGTTGGATCATAATAATAAAAGTTCTCATTATTCTACTAGAAAAATCCTGTAACTACGTAGCAGTTACAATAATTTAGTTCACTTAGTGCACAATTTAACTCCTATTCAGTGTAATGTTCTCTGATTATTTCCCAAGATAATTAACTGCCTTCTGTTAAGGACCTGCTAATTTTTTTTTTTTTTGCATTACCTATACCTAGCAGCTGGCACAGAGTAAGGGAGACAGAAGGTACCCAAATTCTTTAATAGAAAGACTAACTATTGTTTTAAACCACAAGACTTTATTTTTCACATCATTTAGTAAGCTACATACACTTCAGATGATATTTTCATGACAATATGCTGGTCTTAATCTGAGACCCTGGGAAATCACCAACATGGTGGTGGAGTCAGAACACTGAGGCCCATTTCTGCCTTTCACTAGTTGTATAACCTTGGCCAAGCCAATCACCTAACCTCTCTGTGCCTCTGTTTCCATCTCTGTAGAACAAAGGAGCTGGATCAGACAGTCAGTAAGAGAAACTCAAATGAATCTGTAACCTTGTTCACCTTCAAAACTATTCCTTAATAGTGTGTTTTAGCATATGAAAGGTCAGTTTCTACAAATGAGGGAGTTCAAGTAGATGATGTCTGAGCTCCCTTCCAGCTCTCTATCTATGACCCTTTGAGCATTCTAAGTAAAGGCTGCAAGGAAACCCTAAGGAACCTAAATTCTGCTTGTAAAACATTTTAAAGAGATGATCAGGTTTTTAGTTTAGCCACTAGCATTAGTGTTGTTGCCCAGTCTCTAATGCAAAAGTAGTTGCAAGTGTTTGAAAACATTAACTTATCCACTGTCAGTCATGGAATGTGGGGAAAATGAGAAAATATTATGATACATACCAGTGTTTGGATGAAAATTTTCATTATTGATTATTACACATAGCCCCATTTCTGGATAATCCATTTTATAGCTGTCTGATGACAGACCAGATTCTGCTGACTTGCTACCATGGAGGATCTTTCTGTTTGGAAATGAAATAACATGTTCTATAACTGGTAAGTCCACAAGTTACTCTTGATACTGAGAAATTTTCCATAATCAACCAAAAATATTTTGTGTAGTTTTAGAAAACTTTAAATTAATTGGATTTAATTTATCAATAAAACATTCAAGAAGAATCAGCCAATTCATTCAGGTTAATTGACAAAATCTTGATAAAAATTATTTGTGAAATCCACAAGAAATGTAGAAAATGTGCAAATAAGACTGAGTTTCCAGTAAAGGATTCTATTTATACTATTAAGGTCAATTAATTAGGCTGGTGCTTAATCATGGAAGAAGTATTACAAATAAGGTAATGTGGAAAAATCGGTGTTACATACAGCAGAATATACCAAAACTAGTACACAGTTAAGAAAATGAAGGCTTTACACAGATAGATTATACAAAGTCATCACAAATATTAAAATTAATGTGTTTGATTCAGAAAAGGGCCCTTCAGACCCTCATACAAAGCAAGGAAATATATTCTAATTAGAGAAAAATCATAGATCCAAGAAAAGAAGTATAGCAATATGGGAATATCTAGTATTCAATATATCTCAATAGCATCTGAGGGCAAGACTCTTTTACTAATCTTCAGTCTTTCCTTACCTCTACTCCTGCTTTCCTGCCACCTGAAAATAACATCTATGTTCCCCCATCCTCAAAAACACCCTTTCCCTTGATCAGTCCATCCCTGTTAGTTATCAGCCTACATATCTCCTTCCATTCGTGGCTAAATTCCTAGAGAAGGCAGTGTGTGCCTGCCTATAATGTGTGCCTCCATTTCTTTTCCTCTCACTCTCTGCTTAATTCTCTGAAGTCTAGCTTCCAGTCTTATGATTCAACTAAATCAGATCTCTCTAATCTACTAATAATCTGTTAATTGTTAAATCTAATTAACCTTCTTAAAATCATCATCCTTGTTCACTACTCTGCATCCTTCAACATTGTTGGTTACCCTCCTCTCCTAGGTTTTCATGGTAGTGCTCTTTCCTGGTTCTCCTCCTACTTCTCTGATATCTGTTCAGTGTCTTTGGCTGAATCTTCATCCAGGTTGCATTTACTAATGAACTGGGAATCCCCAACACTGTGTCATGGGTCTTCTTCTCTTCCCCCTCTATAGTAATTTTTTTTTTTTGGTGATCTCATAAGGTCCCACGATTTCAATGATCATTTCTATGCAAGTGATTTCCAGACCTACATATCCAGCTCTCCCCTTTCCCCTGACCAGTCTTACATCTTTAATCGCCTCTTGAACATCTCAAACTGAATGACACCTTAAATACAACATGTCCAAAACTCAGTTTATTATCTACCCTACCCACAATCTTCTATCTTTGTTACATCTAACATATAAATCCCCTCCTCTCCTCTGACAGTGCCACCAACATGATAGATGCCCTCACATCACCTCACACCTGCATTATTGAAATAGCCTGCTGCTTGATCTTCTGGTCTTCTAAGTCTCTTCCCACTTCAGTCCATCCTCCACTCAGCTGTCAAAGTGAGCTTTCTAAAGTGCAGGTCTGGCCGTGTCACACCACCCCACCCTTCCCCACTTCTCCCAATCCCCCTTCAATAAACTTTAGTAGCTTACTATTGCCTCTAGGATCAAATAGAAAATCTTCCATTTGCCTTTTAGAGCCTTCATAAACTAGTCCCTTCCTACCTTTCCAGTTTTCTTACCCCTTACCTCCCTCTACATACTCTACAACCCACTGACACTGGCCTCTTAGCTGTTCCTCACACAAGACACTCTTATCCCCTCTCAACTGCTTTATTTTTAGACTGGGTCTGCCTGTCTTACTCAGGCTGGAAGGGCCCCTGCCTGATCCCATAGACACTCTGACCTGCTCTCTTCCCAGCTGGACTGGTCCACTCCTCCTTAGGCATACAAGTGGTGCCCTATTCCCAGGGGCTTTCCATATTGGTGCCAGACTTAGTAAAGGCATCTGCTTGACTTTAGCCCTATTTCAGCTCAGAGCTTTTGAAATCAAAAGATCCATGAGCCCCAGCCTCCCAGTAGCACAGACTGCAGGACTGGGCCATCAAGCTCCACTGGCTAACTGTGCATTTTCACTGGCTATCCCCTGTGCCTACAGTTCTTTCCCTCACTGCCTTGGCCTCCTAGCTTCCCTAGCTCCATTCATGCATCAGGTAAAATTCTACCCTCAGTAAGACCCCTTTTCTGATCCCCCTTAATGCTTGAGCTGTCCCTCTGTGCTAACCTCCCCTTCATTCTCTATATATCTTGTTTGCACATACATAGCTGTCAGCTCGAGTCTCATTCGACTCTGAACATCTGGACAGTAGAGAATATTTTTTGTCTTTCTTTGTATTTCCAGCATTTACAAAGAGCCTGGCTCAGAGTAAGCACTCAATAAAAGCTTGTTAACTTAACTTGTGTTAGAATTTGTATAGAGTATTTGATGTGCAAAAAAGTGCTGAGTCATCAAAAAGGTTACCTTTATTTAGTATCTTCTATGTTAGTGAGGAAGAAAGTACCATGCCACATAAAAACTAGTCACAGATTTAGAGTTGATGGTGACCTTATGGGCCACTGAGTACAGCTCCCTTGTTTTACAGAGAGACAAATGAGGCCCAGAGAAGTGACTTACTTAGGCTCACAGACCTAGTAAATATATATTTTTTCAGACTAGAAGAGGAATTTAATTTTGTACATGTTGAGCTTGAGGTGTCAGAGAGATAATCAGGAGGCAGTTAGAAAAACACAGGACTAGGGGCAGCTAGGTGGCGCAGTGGATAGAGCACCAGCCCTGAAGTCAGGAGGACCTGAGTTCAAATCCGGCCTCAGACCAAACACTTGTCACTAACTAGCTGTGTCACCCTGGGCAAGTCACTTAACCCCAATTGCCTGTTAAAAAAAAGAAAAACACAGGACTAGAACCACTGGGAAGGACTGAGGCTGGAGCTGGTCAATTGGAGAATCATTTTCAAGATGAATTGAAGCTACAGAAAAAGAGCTGTGGAGAAAGAGTGAGGAGACACCCAGGAAGAGCACCATGGACAAAGCCTAGCCAACTAGAGGTAGTACAGTGACTTTTCCTGTCAATTTAACAGATCACATTAGCTTACTTGTGGAAATTTTAAAACTTGTTTTATTATGCTTAATACTAGTTATTAAATTTTTCAAGAAGATCCAGAATTTGTATGGAAACACTTACAGTCCTGAACTTTTGGTGGGTTTTGAATCTACTGTAATTTCAGTATTTTCCATGGTACTTCTATTATTGACTAGAATACACAAAAGAAAATAGAAAAGTTAATCAAAAGTACTCACAGAAACATCTTTTTTTTTTTGGTGTACAAATTCTTTAAATAATTACTCTTTTAGCTTTATGTCTCTTCTTTTTTTTTTCTTTTTTTTGTGAGGCAATTATGGTTAAGTGACTTACCCAGAGTCACAAACCTAGTGAATGTTATTTGTCTGAGGTCAGCTTTGAACTCAGGTCCTCCTGACTCCAGAGTTGGTGCTCTATCCACTGCACCACCTAGCTTCCCCCTTTTAAAAATTTTTTTTAATTTTTAAAAAATTTTTTCGGGGGGGGGCTAGGCAATGGGGTTAAGTGACTTGCCCAGGGTCACACAGCTAGTAAGTGTCAAGTATCTGAGGCCGTATTTGAACTCAGGTTCTTCTGACTCCAGGGCAGTGCTCTATCCACCGTGCCACCTAGCTGCCCCCATGTCCCTCATTTTCCCCAGCTCCCAGCAAATCATCTTGTGTTTCACAGAACTAAAGAGTCTACTCATTTAGGGAGCCAACACTCTGTCTAGCATAAAGGTAATGCAAAATTACTGTTTATTTTTCTTAAATAGTTAAATTGTTTGTGGAGGAATGGGAAAGGGAGTCAATAGCTTCAGTGAATTGAAGGATATCTTCAACATATCTTTCCAGAAACAAAAAAGTTGTCAATGTCATATTGGAGAAACTCAGTTTGTATTCATCCATTCTCTGTACTAATGTAGAAATCATGAGAAAATGCCTGTGAAAAATAAAGTTCACCTCACTGACCTTACCTAAGAGAAAGGAAGCTATGAAGTAAGAACCTGAAAAGCATTTCTGCAAGCACCCTGTGTTTTAAGCAATATTGGTAGCACTTGGTGTAAGAGATTGCAGTTGTAATGGATACACTGGCAGTGGGACCCTGGACTTTGTAGCAACCCTTAACTTCTCATTGTCCCAGATAATTAAGAGGGGAGAAGGTACCCACCTGCATCAGTAGAGGGGTCTTCCTCAGCAGGAGATCCCTATATCAGTTAAATCCCAGGTCCTCCCAGAAAGTCCTTAAATTAAAACCTGTATCTGTTTATTAGTATTTTTAAGGAACAAGCAGCTCTAAGCATTTCTTTTCAAATTCCACTCTTTTTTTTTTTTTGCTGTTTTGCTAAAGGTCAGTGGTATAAATAATTGATTTATAAC